ACACAAATATCAGCCCATAATATTCTGCTTATTCTCCTGTACCTTTACTAAAATAGATATATTTAAAACCATTTCTTTCACTTGTAATATAGTATTTTACATTCTGCTATTGTTTCTTTTCCTGGAATTAAGGATCTGAATACTTATTACCAGGGACAAATAACACCTCAGTGGTTTATTGAACCACTGTTGTATGATAATCTATATGTTTTACATCTGCATTTGTGTATGTTTGTAGATGCTCTGCTACACAAACAAAAACAAAAAAACAAACAAAATACACAAAATAGAAAGTCTCTATTACAAGTTGACGCCATGCATTCAAATGCATCTAAGTCTAAAGTAAATACAAAAGTATTATCAGTGAAATGTGCTTAAAACATCACCAGTAAAAGTACTTATGGTTGGACTATTGTTACTGATACATTAATGTACAAGCATTGTTTGAATTTAATTTTTATACTGATGGGTTTCATACTGCATGTCATTGTTTTGTTTCCTTTCTAATCATTAATACACTTTTACTTTGTGTTCTTTCACCACTATTGAACAAACTAACTTTGCTGAGAACATGAAGTAAACAGGGGTATAATTGCATCATTTTCACAGCTGATAACTACCTCTTTCTCTCTCCCCCTGTCCATTGGCTGCCCCAACCTGGCCGAGTCCCTTCAGTCAGAGCTGACCCACTGGTGTGATGGGGGAGAGGGGAACCCCCATTTAGGTTCCAGCTCCCACCAAAAGAAACATAATGCCCTGAAGCAGAGCTGTCAAAGCAGAGGTGGTGACCATAAACACATATTCAAACATCATCTTGTACACAAGGGGTTAACAAACAGTTTTCACGAGCTGAAATGCCCTCCCATCATCCACTCCCCCTGGAATGGACTGTCCCATGACATATGTGTGTGTGTGTGTGTGTGTGTGAATGACCGAGAGTGTGTCCGTGCGCGTGTGTGTTCTCTTAGCCATATATATTGGGCCATGTGGACACAGACGTGGAGTTTTGTAGGATAGACTCTGTATTAGCTGCAGGGCTGTTGGCCTCCCTTTCTTCATTTCTCTCTTAAAGAGAACCAGCAGGAATATAAAGCAGCCCTCAGATCTCTCTGCACTGCTTGTTGGTGGGAACTGAGGAACCTTTTCTCCCTGAGTGTCTTGCAGAGTACCTGGCCCTGTAGAAAAAATGAGCGATTTGCTGGACGATGGCTCTTTCATGTTCACGTCGGAGTCCGTGGGAGAGGGACATCCAGGTGAGTCTCAACTTTAGCTACCTGGTTGTGAAACTGGGACTTAAAGCCACAGTGAAAATGAAGTGTATTAAAGTTTACTGTAAGATATTTCACAACTTGTCAAATCTCTTTACACTTTGTTGTAAAAAAAAAAAAACAAAAAAAAGTCAAAAACTTATCTTTACCCTATTCACAGAGAAATAAATTTAGCACTTCTACTAAAACTGCAGTGTTATTTTGCAGAAACACATTCATGCATATGAATTAACTCTATGCAAGTTGGCTATATCTCCAAAATAACTGCTCAGTGCTGCGTATTTGCTCTCCAAGCATGGTTGGTATTCCATTCACAGCAACATGTGTTTACTGCCCCTCACTCTCACTCAGGATGTGAATGTATTTGTGACAGACCAGTGTAAGGTTGCACAGTGAGCAACAACTAAGAGAGTAGAGTGACATGTGAACTCTGGGATACAACTGGCACGTTGGCATAGTGTGCAAAATAGGGATAATAATTTACATGTCAATCCAAAATGCATGCGAACTGCTGCTACAGTACAACTTAACCTGGTTAAAGTATTATCTGTCACATCTGGTCCGATGTCCAAAAATTAACAAGACTTTGGCAACACTTATACTTATGGTTTATGACACACTATATTGTCATTATATGCAGATTTAAGTGTTTATTTATGTATTTGTCAGCAACTGTAACTCCTCCTGTGGGCACCTGTAAGTGGAGGCTGGTGTATAATTAATAAAACACAGGTGTAATATTATGAAATATGGTATTCCAGCAGGAGCTGTGTACAAGCTATGCTTCCGTAGTGTGTTATAAACCATTTATTAAATGTTCATATACTGCTTACAAATGCTAAATAGGGGACGTCAAGTAAAGTGATACCCAGATGTTTTATACTCACCTGAGAAAGCTTTTCTAACTTACAACCTAATGATAAAAGTTCAAATGGACTGTGCCCTCTATGCTGCTACCTTTAGACCCTCCACCCCCTCACTCCCCCTTGTCAATGTGTTGTAATCCTTTCACAAATACATAACCTCACAAAGTCCCCTGTGCTAAATCAATAATCAGTAAACGCAGCACAGTAAACCAGTTGTGCAGCTTCACAGACATTGACAGAACGTGAGACCCTGATACTATGTAACCACAGTAAAAGAAAATACATTTTAAAAATGTTGTATTAAAGTTTTTATAGATTTTTAAATGGTTGTGTTTTAATAGATGGCAAGTAGTATATGTTCTGTTTTTGTAGTTCAATATTATATCTAATTTCATAGATCATAGAGGGTAGACCTTATTTAAAGTCTTATTTAAAGACATACTAAAAGACAAATTACAATCATGAAAAGGAAGAAACAAAAGTGAAAGACCTAGTAACCAATGAAACAAAAATGAAGTCTAAAGAGGCACTTCAGCAATTTGGTGAATCCAGAAAACTCTTTGAAACCATCTTTTAAAATAGCATGCAGTCCATGTTATAATAGCAGTGCTGTAAAGAAAAGCACATGGTTTAATTTTCCAGAAAACGTGGTCAGCAGTAACAATAACATTTTGTAGTTTATTGTTGTCTGTGTGTGGTTTCTTAAACCAGCTGAAGGCAAAACTGCAAGACTTGTGACTTATGACTTACTCTTACTCTCTCTCCATACACTGCTTGTGCATTCACAGAGCTGTGTGGCCTTGGTAGAAGGCTGCAGCACACACCTTTTGATGTGATAACGCACCTCAAAGTCTGGGCTGTTCCCACAGATAGTGGACATATGTTGTTCTACACCTGCAGAGTCAAGATGAAAAGAATGTAATACTGATCTTATTGTTCCACGAAAGAAGAAATTGTGTTAAAAACTAGATATTTTGGGTTCTTATTGTTGGGTTGAACCAATGCAACCAGATGTTGATGTTGTTTCTGATGTAACCCGTGTGTTGCATTGCTTCAGCAGGGAGACAGAGATGAATGGAGTGTTTTGTAAAGCATTGTCCTGCTGCTGCACTAAAATCCAACAGATCCAACACTCTTCCTGTTTGAAATATTAGTGTGTAACCTTTCAGAGAAATATTTTTAAAGGTGGCCTCTCAAGCTAACATCTTCTATTGTTAATATTTTGTAAATCCTACTGTAAAAATGCTATAATATATAGCTTTCCTTTCCTTCAAACACTGGGATTAGAGCCTGTAAATTAAAAACCAAACTACCTCTGTTCTGGATATAAACTTTTTGCTTAATGCTTCTCCACAGACAAGATCTGTGACCAGATCAGTGATGCTGTCCTGGATGCTCACCTGAAGCAGGATCCAGATGCCAAAGTGGCCTGTGGTGAGTAAACTGGAATTCATATTGATTAATTAATGTTGTTTTATTTAAATATAGAGACACATTGAGAAGTTTTCTCACACCTCAATATCGTGACTTGTTTTTTTTTTACATTCTCCTAAGTAAGTCAAAGGCGCAACAGTTTTGACATAGCTGAGTAGAAACAAACAGACCCACTGCTCTGGATCTCATCTGGAATTTAAGTCATCTGCATTGCTGAGATAGTTATTGTATTTCTATACTGACCTGAATGTCACAAGATGACCACTTGCGAGCGTAAATCCTGTTAACTTACAATCAGACCTGTCATGTTGTTTCAACACCAATTTCCAAGTGATCGAAGTCTAAAAGATCATTCTGTTTTTGTTTTGTTTTGATCACCAGATGTTAAAAAGCGTTCTTTGTTAAAATGCATTGATTATATTGACAGAGACGGTATGTAAGACTGGCATGGTGTTGCTCTGTGGAGAGATCACATCTCGGGCCAATGTGGACTACCAGAAAGTGGTGAGGGACGCCATCAAACACATCGGCTATGACAACTCCGACAAAGGTGAGGAAGTAACACGGAAATCAACAAAAATATATGTGCTTGTGTCGGCTTTTCCTCACTCTTTCTCACTCTCATTCACTTTACTTCTGTAGGTTTCGACTACAAGACGTGTAACGTGCTGGTGGCTCTGGAGCAGCAGAGTCCAGACATTGCTCAGGGGGTCCACGTTGACAGGAAGGAGGAGGACATTGGAGCGGGAGACCAGGTAGGACTGTTGCAACAGGACAGTGTGTCCTTTGACTTTCTGTCACTATCACCCAGTCTGTGAGCCAACATGAGTCAAATATCACATTTAGTTTGACTCAGTTGTTAAAGAACTGGGACAACATGTGGGGGAGGGAATGTTTGTGTTTTCAGTTTTCATTTGCAAAACCTCAATCATGCAGATAATCATTGGTAATGTGGCCAAGCAGCAAACATACATTTTACTGTTGTAGCTGCTTGACGTGGAGCTCGTTTGAACTACTTTATATATAGTTTGGTTGTTTAGTCCTAGTGTTCACATTCCTCTAAAGCGTTAAATCTGAGTGGTTGTGAGATAATTAATGAGGGTTTGAAAGAAGGAAAACCAAAATTCTGCATGCTTCTGTATAAGGAGTCATCTTTTGAATCTCTTCTCAAAATTTAACTTTATCTGAAAGCATATCGATAGCAATAGCTTATTTTACTTTAAATATTATTATTCTATAATCTATATTAATCTATTTGTTTTATTTTACCAGATTTTATTTCCCTTTTTGCGTCTATTTTATGCCTTATATGTCAATTTGTGTCTTTTTACCTATATGTTTACCCTTTGCTGTTGTTCTGTGTGAATTAGTTTGCAACTTTGTTTTAAAAGGTGTTCTTCTGATAGATTATATCTTGTCTCAGAACTGATGTTATGACAATATTTAGCTGTTTTACAGATTCAGCCAACATTACTATTTCCTTGTGATGATCTGTGTCATTATACTGCACCATTTACATCTTTTTGTCTCTCTCTCTGCTCTGCAGGGTCTGATGTTCGGCTATGCCACAGATGAGACGGAGGAGTGCATGCCTCTCACCATCGTCTTAGCCCACAAACTCAACTCAAAGATGGCTGAACTCAGACGCAACGGCACCATCGCCTGGCTGCGTCCTGACTCTAAAACACAGGTGAGGTTTTGTATTGTGTTACAACCCGGGCAAGGTTTTTTGTTGGTTTTTTTTCTCACTAAACCGAAACAACACCACAGCAGTCTTCTGTGAATTAGTTTATTGTTTCAACTCTGGATGTCTTCCAAGAGATTTATTTTGGTACCAGCAGACAAAAGCGGATCAAATGTGGCTACTGCAAGTATTTAAGATAAAGCTCTTTGTGTAGAAATAATAGACTTTTGACTGCAGTTAGCCGCTGACTGCAACTCTGTGGCATAAAGTGTCTAATGCCTTTGTGTTTCAGGTCAAATAGAGGTTGTTGGAACATCCAGCTATTCGAACACAGAGTTTTAGATTTATCCCGGATTGGACTGAACACACATTTTGACTACACTAAGAAGTATTAATGAATTAATGAATTAATACAGTAACTATGTAATTGCCTGGCCTCAACAGCTTCATAAGCCTCTTAAATCACAGACTATTATCTATACAGCCACCTTTTTCTAGGAGGTTACAAATGCCTTCACAAATGCAGGAAGCTTTGATCATCCTGTAGGGAAACTGGGGTTCCCTCAAGTCGCAGCAGGAAATTGAGGCTAAAAGAGAACAAACAAATTCCAACATTGTGTACAAACTTTTGTCTTCTCCTCTGTCGCACAGGTGACAGTACATTATGATCAGAAGGATGGAGCTGTGATCCCCAAGAGAGTTCACACCATTGTGATATCTGTTCAGCATGATGACTTCATCACTCTGGAGGAACAGAAGAGGGTGCTCAAGGAAAAGGTAGAGCCTCATAAAGACACCTGAAAGGACTCGGACTAATGTATTGCTCAGGAAATAAAAGTCATATCTTTAATCTTTAATGTTTGATTTTATCAGGTGATCAACGCTGTGGTTCCTGCTAAATATTTGGATGATAACACCATCTACCACCTCCAGCCTAGTGGCCGCTTCGTTATTGGAGGACCCCAGGTGACCATCACACACAATCTGCTCATTTCACCTAAAGAAACACTTCAAAGTCACCGCAGATTTTTGCTCATCCTCCCCGCCTCTTTTTGCCGAACAGGGTGATGCTGGTGTGACAGGCAGGAAGATCATTGTAGACACATACGGAGGGTGGGGAGCTCACGGTGGCGGAGCTTTCTCTGGCAAAGACTTCTCAAAGGTGGACCGCTCTGCTGCCTACGCCGCTCGCTGGGTGGCCAAGTCTCTGGTCAAGGCCAAACTGTGCAGGAGAGTTCTGGTTCAGGTGAGCTTCGGTCATCCACCCCATCCAAACATGCACAAGGGTTGTGTGTAGATGACTGGCGTTTGAAGCATTGCTTGCTAGTAAAAACACAACCTGTCTGTGTGTGTTACAGGTGTCTTATGCTATCGGAGTGGCCCAACCTCTGTCGATCTCCTTGTTCACCTACGGTTCCTCCCAGAAAACAGAGTCAGAGCTGCTCCACATTGTCAACAAGAACTTTGATCTGCGGCCAGGAGTCATTGTCAGGTAAACATTGTAGATTGTGTCAACTTTTAAGTGATTATCTTTCAAATGAGTCTGATGGCATATGTGTCACTGTGGAAACTGTGATATTACCACTAGAGGGCACCAAAGACATTTTAAAATTGTACACATAGTGACTTTAAGCTGGTAGCCTATTTACTGTCTACATACCAAAGGGTTTAAAGCCTAAGGACTTTGAAATACAGAAAACTTAAACACTGACGCCTCTTTACAAACTTCAAGTTTAAAATGGCCCTGATCCATGATCTATGATGATCATAAGATTGAGTTCCGTTGGTTCCACATATATCTCCCAAACAGAAAAAAACATCTGGCCAAATGAGTTTCCCCGGTGTATTTAAACACCATCCCAGCTAGCAAAAATGATCATTTCCTAATGTGTATCGTATTATTATTATCATATTAAATCACTAAAAGAAACACCATTTAGTATTACACTATCTACAGAAACAATAATCACATTTAAAGGTTCAAACTATCTGATGACATTTCAGATTTGAAGGGGAAATAAATATTTTTTTCACACTGTACAAAAATAAATGCCAATGGTTTTATAAAATAATAATAATCTTCTGTATCCTCCCTAGGGAACTGAACCTGAAGAGGCCAATCTACCAGAAAACAGCCTCCTATGGCCACTTTGGACGAGCAGAGTTTACTTGGGAGATGCCCAAAGAGCTTGTCTACTAAATACTCCACTTGGTTGTGCTGCTCGACTCATCTGGAGGCTGAAAAAGAAGCCTCCTCATGGGTTACAACTGCCAGCTCCATCAACAGATAGGATGTATTTTTAATAGGAAGAACTAAAGCCAAAGTTAGGGATAAATCAGCTTCAAAGAGGTAATTATAAAATGGTTGACGGACACATAATGGGACACTGCAGAGGACATCTCAGTAACCAACCCCCCCCCCGTCTTTTTCATGCCCACAAAACATCCAAATAGTGGTGCTTTAAGAATACTAGTGCAGTGACCGT